CAGCTAGTCTGAGTCTTGCCCCAGCCCTTCTAACAAGAAAGAATCTCCTTTGCACCTCCTTTCAAATATGCATGATATCTGTATCACCTATTTGGCACTTATCAAGAACTGCTCTGTAGTGTCAATCATCCTATTCAAGGTTCATTTATTGAGGATAACCATAATCATAACATCAGTAGCCTCCACAGATTGAACCCTCCTCTATGCCGGTCACTCTACATATATTGTCTCTGGTCCTCACTATGACATTGCCTGAAAGGGGTGATTTTTCTCTTTTTACTAATGAAGCACTTGAAGCTCAGAGATGATAAGTAGCATGTCCAAAGCCACAGAATTAGTAATTATCAGTGTAAGAATTCAGGCCCCTAGAGCTCCAAAGGCTCTCCTCACACACACAGACTGTCAGCCCTCTTTGTTGTATCAAACTGAGGTGCTGAAGATGCAGTAAACAGTGAGGCAGGGCGACCATGAGGGAATGAATATGGCTTTGAAATTAAACAGACTTGCCTTCAATTCCCGGCTACACCACTCACCGGTTACATGACCTTGGGCAAATTCCTGAACCTCTTTGTACCTTAATGTCCTCATTTTAAAACCACCTCTGCATAAATAAATAAATAGAGCCACTTAATTCACAGGATTGCTCTGAGGATTAAATGAAATAATATATATATGGAAAAGCTCAATAATAGACAATGTTTCTTCCTTTCCCCTTTGGTGATGCAAATTATTGAAAAGTTTGTCATCTGCCTGATTGTTACTGTTCTAAATTGCTAAGTTTGATACTAAGAAACACCTGCAGAAGGGTCATTCAGTCATTGGTGAGTATATTAAACAGGCAGATACACTCACAGGGAGATAAAGGGAATGTAATTGTGAGGAGACGGGAAACAAGGCAATGGAAAGCAGTATGGTTCCTCTTATATGAAAGCTTTTCCAAAGCAGAGCTCTTGAAGCTTTTGTATGTCAAAAGCATTTTAAAGGTTTTCCTGAGGTGCACTCATAGGGTCTTTCTTCTGCGGCAAGGAAAGCATGGTCTTATCAAAACGTTGTTGATTTTTTTCAGAAGGAATCTAGAGACCTCATTAATGGAGCCCTGCAAACAAGCCCAAAAGCCCACTCTTTTTCCTATGAGCTGGCCACCCACTCCAGGACATACATAGCCAATAAACTGAAAGTTAACACTTACTAAATATTTACTAGGCACTTTGCTAGACCATGTATACCTCCCATTTCATTAATCCTTTAAACAACCCTATGAGGTAGAGATTATTTCTTATGCTACAAGTGAGGACACTGATGCTCAGAGAGGTTAAATAACTTGTACAAGTTCACACAGCTAAAAAAAGTGTTACTGGTGAGATTTCTGCTGATTCATTCATTTAGTCCACAGAAATGTATTGAGTGACTACTACATACCAGGTCTGCCTGATTCTAAAGCTAATGCTTTTTTCACTGTCTAACTCTGCCTAAGAAAATAAATAATGTAACCACCTGATATCTTCCCTGAGAACGTCATAAATCCCCTGACATTTATAATGCTCTCTTAGAAAGTGAAAGCAATTTGGCCAGAACATGAGATGCCCATTGATCAGAAAAGATAATGGAGCAGATTGACGTGGCCAGGGAAATGTCTCCATGTCTGAGCACTACTCCATATTGTGTCCCTCTGTAAGCTGGATGGTTGAAGAGAAGGATCTTCTACAGTCAGAAGTATTATTCTGGGACAAGAAGATATATTTGTGTCTGACAGCTTATAAAATTTTATAAGTATGATGCACTGTTTTTATTTGTTAGAAAGCTACGAAGAGGTGAAGATCAATGTATGCAATTCACAAACGAGGAAAATCCAATTGTAATAGTGTCTTAAATTTATATGGCGCATGGACCTTATCAGTGTACTATAACATAAGCGATTCCTTTTTAGCCACATACCAAGCCTGTGAGATCAGGAAGGTGATTGTTAGTGTACCCATTTCTCACAAGAGGAAACCGAGGTTCAAGGAGTAAAGGTCATTGGTACTTTAGTCATTAAAACCAGTAAACCAGTTGCCATCAAGTCTATTCCAACTCATGGAGACCCCCTGTATGTCAGAGTAGAACTGTGCTCCATAGGGCTTTCAGTGGCTGATTTTTCTGAAGGAGATTGTCAGACCTTTTTTCTGAGGCATCTTTGGGTACACTCGAACCTCCAACCTTTTGCTTAGCAGCCCAGCATGTTAACCATTTGCATCACTCAGGGACTCATACTTTACTTGTTATCACATTGTTATTGGCAGAACCAGGATTTGTACTTAGTTTTTCTGCTCTTTCCAGTATACAGTCTGTTATTGGTCAGGATAAGCTAGGTTATGTTGCAGTAACAAATGGCCTCCATTTCTCAGGGGCTGACAACAATACAGCTTTATTTCTGCTCATTCTCTACATTGGTTGTGCCTTTGGTCTACTGTGTCTTTACTCCCAGACCCAGCTGGCAGAGCAGCTTCTATTTGCAGTGAGGTATAAAGTGGTCGTAAGCCTCACTTCCTAGTACCATGAAGTAATTCTCTATTAAATGTGGCAGTGATTAAGAACTATCCCAGATACTATCAGACATGCAGTCATCTTAAATAATGTCATAATTAAATAAATAATACACTTAATATTAAAAAAGCAACAATCATAAAGTATGCCTCTTGAGTACTAAACATTCTGCTTTTACAAAGAAAGCAACTTTCTGCCTCCTTTTCTGGCAGGAGAATTGGATAAAACACTGATGTCCTGTGAATGGGTGTCAGGGCGTCATATTTGAATGTGCAGTGAGTAAACATTGGCAGAAGCCCTCTTGGCCACATGACTTCAAAACAAATACCAGTCAGTAGGGAACTACCACCTGTGCTGAGTAGAAAAAATGCACACATGCACTCTTATTCTGTGAAGCAAAAAAAAAAAAAAAAAAATCCCTGCTGAAAATCACCTCCCCCAAGAATGTAGGGCACCAGTGGGTTCTCATACGTGTCCATGCACAAAACCCCACCCCTGGAAAGTCCTCCTGGCAAAGCCATTTAAACAAAGTCCAGAGGAAGACAGAAGTAGGATATGAAACAGAGCTTAGGCATTCACAGAATCATGCCTTTCCTTAAATCAACTGGCAGCTAAAAAGGAAAAAGGGGGGGGGGGACACTGGGCAAGAATTTAAAGTAGCTGATTTCTATCTAGCGCCAACTGACTTATAACGTCCCTTGCAATTCTAAGACCCTGTGATTCTATAAGTTTATGTGGTGAGAAGAAGCAAATCTTCTTTCTTACTTAACTACACAAACGAAAGGAGAAAAGGATATGCTTTCCATAATAAATTGCACAGGGAAGAGCACCAAAAAAAAAAAAAAAAGTCTCAAGAACCATAAAGTTGTCTTGGGTTAGGCAATCTGCATATAGAATTCTGTTTCTTAAAAAATTTTGGCACCAAACCAGGACTTGATTTGTAGAAACAGCACTTCCCCAATACTTACTTTAAAGCTGTAAGGAGGAGGTGGAATGAACTGACTTAGAGCTTTGCCTTCAACTTTTTATAAAGGTCACCAAAGGGAAAACCCATAAAAAAATCATTGCCATTCAGTACAAATATGGGATGTGCTGTCCTAGGATGAAGAAGAATTATTATTGTGTGTCACATTTTATATTAAATAATTAAATTCTGCCTTAATTATTTTTCCATGACTTTAAATTCAATTCAAGTCGAAATGATTAGTAGGAAATCTTTCTAAATACATCTAAGAATGCTTTTTTGATATGCTTGAATATAACTTCATAGTTTTGCTGGTATAATGGTTGCTGGAAAATCCCCACAACTGATATTCAAATTTCAGTGTAGATGTAAGTAGAAACGGTTCTCAGTAGCAAGTAACAAAACAGGATATTTAAAAGAAAAAATAAGGAAGAGAGAAAAAAAGATGAAGACATTAACTCTTTCTTATCTACGACATCCATCGTGGTTCCCTGCTACCTGCTCTAGCTACGTACTAGTCATTGGTCAGGAGATGTGTGGAATCTCTAGGGGTCTAAATGAACGTAAAGATATTTCTGTAATAGCTGATGGTTGTAGGTAGTACAAGAGACACATCCACTAGAAGAGATTGTGGTTCATTTTAAGAAAAGGGCATGGGGTATGGTGTCTCAGGATCAAAATCTTTGAAAGGGAGGATTCTGGATCTATGGTGACTTGAAATTAGCTTCCCTCCCTTCCACAATTAATCCAAATATCTCTTTGAGTCTTGAATCAAACAGCTGAAGGTACAATCCAGTGACACTACTTAAATAGAGAATCTTGAGATACATATAAGGTTATATGCACATACGCAGTTCTAGGTCCTGAAGATTCAGTGGTGGCCATGATAGTCTCTGAATATTTGATGTCTTGGGGTAGCTAACAACTCACATTGTTGTTGTTAGCTGCCGTCAAGTCAGCCACTAACTCAAGGCAACTTCACACCCAATGGAACAAAATGCTGCCCAGTCCTGTACCATCCCCATGATCTGTCATGGATCAGACTATTGTGATCCACAGGGTTTTCATAGGCTGATTTTTGAGAGTAGATTGCCAGGCCTTTCTTCCCAGTCCATCTTAGTTTAGGAGCTCCTCTGAAATCTGTTCAGCATCATAGCAACACGCAAACCTCCAGTGACAGATGGGTGGTGGCTGTGCATGAGGTACATTTGCCAGAAATCAAACTCAAGTCTCCAGCATGGGAGGGTGAGAATTCTACCACTGAACCACCAGTATCTTCAAACAACTCAGATTACCCTAGTTCATTTGTTCTTTCATTCTGAAATAGACGAAAGAAATCATCTGACATTACTTTGACAAGATCATGAGGCAGGATTTAGATTCTTCATGAAAAAAAGTCTGCTTCCAGAGACACAGAAAGTCTGTCTGATCAGAACTGAGGTGCCCAGGGTAAGCAAACAGTGAAAGGTCCATGAAAGCAGCCTTCACTTAGCAGCCCACTGCCAGCACTTACCAAATGATTCCTTCCCTAGTGTTTTAGAAGGAAGTTAGTGTTTGCTCATTTTTTCTTCTATTTTTGTGTCAGATTTAAGCATTCTTTGATATCCAGCTTTTTTGAAGAGATGCCAAAAACCGGAGTTTCAATAACAAAGTGCTTTCTGCTCAAACTCCACTACTCCCAGATCCGTTTCTCCTCATTCTCTTCCAAAATCCATTCCGTGAGACTCCTGAAAAAGGTCAAGATGTTAAAATAGAGATTGTCATTCAGGAAAGGCTGCAGAAAGTCACTAATTAATTTATTGCGTAAATGCCCCTGAGAAAACCCAGAACCCGGGCTGCTGCTCTGAATTTGGATCCTAAATGAGATCCCGAATCTGTAAACATACAAATGAAGAAAGCACTTCGGTGTCTGTCCCAGAGCCAAGCCGTTCAATACTACACGTGTGTTTTTGCAAGCCCTGGACTTTTCCTTCTCGTCTTTACTCTGGCTGCCTCTCACACTGTTTCTGGCAAGGTACACTCTGGAGTGGCCTGGAAAAGTTCCCATCCAGTCACTCCCTTCGGTTAATTATTAGCAGCTCTGGTACAAGTTGTTAGTGTGGCTGTTGGAAACAACTAACCGAAAAGAAGCTTTTAGTGTAATCATTGAGTTTATTCATTTGGGGATTTCAGACATCCTGTTCTCCATATGGGAGTCCCTGGGTGGCACAAACAGTTAAGGCTTGACTACTAACTGAAAGGTTGGCAGTGTGAACCCACCCAAAGGCACCTCAGAAGAAAGGCCTGATGATCTGCTTTCAGGAGTTCACAGCCTTGAAAACCCCATGGGTCACCATGAGTCAGAATTGATTTGACAGCAGTTGGTTTGGTTCTCCATATGCCTAGTCCCTGGATAGTACAAAAGGTTAAGCTCTCAGCCACTAACAAAAAGGTTGAAGGTTTGAATCCACCCAGCAGTGCCACAGAAGAAAAACCTGGTAATCTACTTCCAAAAAGTCAGCCATTGACCACCCTATGGAGCACAGCTCTGCTCTGACACACATGGGTCACTGTGAGTCATATCAACTTTATGGCAACTGGTTTCTAACTGGTTTTCCACATACTGAAATAATAGTGTACACAGCTGAAAGCACCAAACTAAGAAATGATGTCTAGTCCCTGCTCTGTGGCTAACTAGCTGAGTGACCCTGGTCAAAGGAAGAGAAGGTAACTCTCCAAGTAGCAAGTTAGGAACTTTAACTGTGCTCTGTCTTTTCATCCCCGTAGCAACCTATCACCTAGATGTTATTATCTCCATTTTACAAAGTTAGACATTTGAACCCAAAACCCCTAAACTTTGAATTAAACCAACAGCCTCATGCCATTCAATTCACCCAAGTTTCAGTTTCCTTACCTAAAAAAAAAAGAGGTTGAACTAGTTTCTCTCAAAAAGCTCTGTCTATCTTTGTAAGCCTATGAATCAGTTGATCTAGCAAAAAGAATAAACAACTTCTCTCCTAATTTCCATGTAGCTTTCATCTTCTTGGCCTATCTCTCTTGGGGGCAAATAGACACAATTGTATTCTGCACATAAAGATGCTGAAATAGCAGTTCACTTACTAGTTGTCAATACAATAGGGCTCTTTCTCCAGAGGCTATTGCTTCACCCTTGTATATATCACTCAGTTCCGTCAGTTTAGCAGACATTCAAAAGCAGAACTGGGTTGGCTTTTTTTCGTTGGTGGTGAGCTGTGTGCCTCAACTGTGTTGCAACCTCACAGTTTACTCAACTCCACCTGGCAGTTCAGCTCCTTGAGATAAAGTTGATTTTCTCTGGCAGAACCAGTAGCAGTTTAGCTTTTTGCTCTGCTGCCAACATACAGCTGGTTGGGCATTTAATAGACAGTCATCTGCTAGTAGCAGCTAGAAAAAACAAGAACACAAAAAGGACGAATTGCCACAAAAGCAATTAAGTAGCCTTATTTGGTCCAATGTAAGGACTTCTTTTGGGAGACTATACTTTCTGCGTATGTGTCTGTGTGTGTCAGACAGAGAGAGAGAGAGTTTGCCTGTGCACACGTGTAGGCATTAGAACTGTGTGCCTGTGTGTATGGGAGGCGGATGGGGAACTATGAGTGGAAGGATTTCGGAAAAATAGCCTGTGAGGACCCGAAGGCAACTCCTGTTTCATAATTCCTGTATTCATAAATCCTGTAAACTTTGCATGAATTTCTCATGCTTGGAATTGAAAGTTTCACTTTGTTCATCTTTTCTAAGAACAATATGTAGTCGTTCTCTTGGGGGAAAATTATGCTGATAGCAACAAAGCAATAAAAATATTTTATATAAGAAAACAATGCAAGGTAAGACGTGGAAAAGAGCACTCAGTGGTTTCATGGGAATGCTAAGCAACAAAAACATGTATGCTGTAATCTATACAACTCCCCAACCCAAACCTCCCCCATACTCAAGTTTGAATGTAGGAAGAAGATAATGAACTTTTCCAGGGCCATCTAATCCTAAATTTTCTCAAGGCTTCCTCCTACAAGACATCTTTCTTCTCATTCTTTATCTGCACAGCATGTCTAAAGGAGAGAGAAGAAATATTCCAGAAGAGCTAGGCTTTCCCCTTCATTTTCCTCTCCTATTTGAATCCTGTCTTTTCTAATTTCCACAGATAAGTGCATAAGAAGCTTTCAAGATTAGAAAACGTGGCTAATTCTACCCAAGGTTCACATAGAAAGAAAAATTAAAAACAGCTGTTGAATTGATCTGAGAACCTTTCTCCCCAGAAGGTTTGCACTGAGGACTGCCATACCCACATGGTCAAGCAGTAGCTGAAAAAGAAGAGAGCAGAAAAAGGATTAGCTTCTTAAGGGCTCTTCCATTCAAATCTTCATTTATTTATAATAAATAATCTAATAAGACTGCAGCATTGTGTTCAAGAAGCTAATTTGGGCCTTACATTGAAACAGATTTGATTTCCTTGTTTTGTTGTTGTATTTTCTTCCTGGACAGTAGTTGGTGGATACTGTTATATGAAATTAGGTTGGAGTTGGCTGTTGCCTAAAGGAGAAGCCAAAAGGACTGGCATTGGGAAAATGCATTTTAGTATTAATTTAGGAAGCAGGGTGGGTTCAAGCAGCTGAGAGGTAAACAGATGGTAGTGCATGCTGGGAGTTACTGGCAAGAAATCAGCCACTAGAAGGGGTGGTTGAATGGAATGCTTTTGTATCCAGGTTGCGGAAAGAACAGGAAGCTAGGACTGGATTTGGCAGGTGCTAATTTATTAAAGAGGAATGAATTTGATTATAAACAAGGGGTAATTTATTTTTTGATGTCTCTGCTCAATTTCTTCAGAGAATTTTCCAAAAGAGTCGAGCCTCTTAAATCACTATTCTCAGAGAGTAGGAAGCTCAGATATGACAATGGGACTCCAACTTATCCTTATCAATAAGCTTAGAAAAGATGACAGGAATCTAAGAAAAATATCCAAACATGGAAATGAATTATTCCTTTCTAAATATGACAAAATCACAGGAAAAAATAATTCACATAGGCATGGTATTACTAAAAGGTTAGGATCTTAGACCTCTCAGTAAGAAAACCAGAGCCTCTTAACAGTTCTAGAAAGAGCCAGTAACTTAAGACAGCTAACGCCCTTTGTGATGAGGGCTTCTTTTTCTGGGTAACATGTGCTATTGAAAGGCAAGTCTTTGCTGCTTGGCTGGTCACTCTAATACATGTAATACATCTCTAACAGGCAGCCACCGCTTCTGAATCAAGCCAGTTGCAGTTACTCTTCCTTGCCGAGTAATGGGCCACACTTCCTTACTCACTTAGAGATTTGCCCCCAGAAACTGTCTAATAAGACTTGTAGCAAATACCAAAGATAATTTACGTTTAGTTTGAATTATGCTTTTGGAATCAGCTGCAGAGGACAATGATGAAATGACACGTGCACATTTAAAAATAGCCAGGATACTTTAGCGAGGTTTTAAAATATCAGCTCTATTTCCAGTGAAGACAAATGTGTCTACGACTTTTCTCTGGGGTCATCGTTGCTATACCTAAGGAAACAAATCCCACTATGTCTGTCCACTCCACGTGTGTCATCCATCTCCATATGCCCAGCATCTGGCAGAATGCCTGGCACATGGCAGCTAACTGATGAACGGACCAAACTGAATTTGTGGGAGAGGGCATGCTGACGCAGGTTATCTCCACTTTACCCTTCTGATATGTGCCAATCACACTCTCAGAAAGCAGACCACTGAAGCACGAAAAAAAAAAAAAGTAGTTAACATTTATTGAGCAATTATTGTATGCCAGACCCTGTTTATAATCAAATGTGCTACTTCATTTTTCCTCAAAGCAATTGTATGAGGTAGATAATATTTAAAAAACCAGTTGCCATCAGGTCAACTCTGATTCATGGCGACCTCATGTATGTCAGAGTCGAACTGTGTGCTATAGGATTTTCAATGGCTGATTTTTCAGAAGGAAACCACCAGGACTTTCCTCCAAGGTGCCTCTGAGTGGACTTGAACCTCTAAACTTTTGTTTAGCGGCTGAACACGTTAAACATTTGCACCACCCAGGTGCCCCCAAATACTATTATTATACCCATTTTGTTGTTGTTGTTAGGTGCCATGCGGTCAATTCTGACTCATAGCTACCCCATGTGACAGAGTATAACTGCCTCGTAGGCACGTAAGGAAATACAGACACAAAGGTTAAGCAACTTGCCCAAGGTTACGTGTTTAGTCACACATACAGTTAAGATGCTGAGCTGAGATTTGAATTCCAATAATGATCCAGAAGATAGTAATCTCTAGGGACTCCCAGACTACTCAGTATCCTGATAACATTGGAGACTGGTAGGCAAAATAAAATATGTGCTGGTTAGGAGAACTACAACAGCCTTGATTCGGCCATAAACAGAGGACTGTTAAATCTTTGTGTGGGAGGCTGTCCTGGGCATTCTAGCATGTTTAGCAGCATATTTAGCCTTTCCGCATTAGATGCTCGCACACACACACACACACACACAGGGTTGTAACAATCGAAATTGTCTCCACACTTTGTATGTGGAATGTCCCCTAGGGGGCTGGAGGGGAGGACCACCCAAGTGAGAACGACTCTCTTAGTGTACTAAATAAAGCTCATCATCTCAGAGTGTAGCATGTTGACCTAAACCCAGTGTGATTATGGTGCCATTTCTCACAGTCCTTCACAGAAGCTTCTCAGACTCTTTTATTCACTATTTCCATGAGGGCTTGTATGTAGCTGCCCCTAAAGATGATATTGTGTTAGAAATAGGTAGAGGCTGAGACTAGTCGCCATTGAGTCAATTCCAACACATAGTGGGTGACCCCATGTGTGTCAGAATAGAACTGTGCTCCATAGGGTTTTCAGTGGCTGATTTTTCAGAAGCAGCTCATCAAGTCTTTCTTCCAAGGTGTGTCTGGGTAGACTCAAACCTCCAACCGTTTAGTTACCCGTGTAGCTGGTTAACCATTTGCACCACCCAGGCACTCTAGAGGGTGAGAGGGGAGATGAAATAGCAAAGATGACAAAAGAGAGCATGAAGTGAATCACCATGGTGTACCATGACTCTTCTTTCTTAGATTAGGGCCATGCTGCCTAGGGGACTTCTGTTTCCCAAGATTTGGAACACCAACTGACTGGAGGGCCCTGTCCAACTGGTGATGTCAAAACTTCCGGCATGATTCCCAGAAGACCTTTGAGGCTGATGAATAAAGGATAGAACAAGCCACCCTTGTCTACTACTATGTTTTTGCACATGCTGTTCTCTCTGCCTGGAATGCTCTGCCTTTGCCTCACCCTCATCACTCTCAGTTGTAACCCTCAGGTTTATTTTCTTCATAAGCCATTAACATCAGAAATCATTGAGTTCATTTATTGGCTTACCTACTAGAATGTCTGTCTTCACCACTCCCACCTACCATTAGAATGCAAGCTTCATGGAGCAGGGACCCATAATTCTATCCCTAACCCCTAGAAAAAAGTGTAACTGATACATAATGGGTGTTCAAGAAATATTTCTTGAATTAATTCACTAATTCTAGAAGGTGAGCTGCACTATTTAAACTTTTTACATGTCTATTTCTGAGCCCAAGACAAATAGCTCGTGAAAAGATCTTTATGGGGCAATGAGGCACATGAGTCAAAAGGAAGAGTATTACGAGTTGAGTTACTGGAAGTCATACTACTGTAAGTCTGGAGGGAGTGGTTTAGGCATCCCAGAGACCTCAGACAAAACTCTGTCAGTCTGCCAAGATCTTCTTTTCCCAATGTGGGAACACTAGTCCCTATATGACTCAGCAACTTTTTGCTCCTACTGTGTACCCTGCCCTTGTTATTCCTTCTCCTGAGAAGGGTCTTGGGACTTTGCCTAACTCACTCTACACTCAACACATCATCGCTTTGCCTCTCTTCATTCTCATTCGTGAGCTCTCTTGGGGAAGAGAAGATTTCATGTGGGATGAGGAGAAACACAAATGTAACAGAAAAACAAAACTGTGAAAAGAAAAAAAATATTTTTAAAGTAACTGTGAAATGACTGTAGGTTGATTCATCCTCAGTGGAAACACATGAAATCAATTATCCCAAAACTCAGCAGTTATGGAATCTGAAACCATCTTCGATATGTTACTCAGAATTATGTATTTGGCCTTCAGAAATTCTATGTTAATAATTTGCTCAACTACCAAGGAAAACACCTAACTGGTTGGTCAAAAATTCATAAATAGCTCTTATGCTTTTTGTTTGTTTCCTGAATTGATACTGGAGGAACAAGAAAGAAAGAACCTAAAAAAAAAAAAAAAGAGGAGCCTTGAGTTAATGTTTCTGCAGCTGGAAAAATTCCGAATAAAGCTTGCTTTGCATCCAAGAACTGGAATAAGCTTAAGCCTCTTCAGCTTACTCCAGACACGGTTACCACTTTACTGAAGCACAAGTCGCATCAGGCAGGCAGGAACCGGAGGTGAACTCACAGTTTCTTTCCAGTTTCGATTTCTAGTTTGCTATTCCTCTCCTGGTATAATGGCCATAGCAATACCACATATAGGGCTTTACCTGGTTAGACAATGATTGTGCAAACCATCTCCAAAGGCTATGCAGTAACTATAACCTAACTTTTTTTAGATTAGTGATACATCATCAGGGCAACAAAATTTCAAGGCCTTGACACTGCCACAGAGGAAAGGTGAAGGAGTAATCACCTTGTTCTGCAGTTTCCTAGTCAGGAGCCTGAATACTGATTCCACTCAGTATCCTTTCTCTCTCTCCCTCTCTTGCTCTCTCTGATCAAATGAATTACTCTTGCCTGTTAGGTCCCTGGAGTCCTTGAATGGTACAAATGGTTAAAGTGCTCAGCTGCTAACCGAAAGTTTGGAGGTTCGAGTCCACCCAAAGGTGCCTCAGAAAAAAAGCCTGGCTATCTATTTCTGAAAAATTGGCAATTGAAAACTCCATGAAGTTCTACACTGACACACATGGGATCACTATGAGTCAGAATTAACTCAAAGGCAACTGGTACTGGTTTACTGGTAAGATCCTTGGATTCCTTTGCAATCATGAGCTCTTTGTACATGAGGCCTTGGGTTTTCTGCTTTAATTCCTCCACCTGAGTGTAAAAGGAGACACAAAGTATCAACTGTCAGCCAATGTTTGTAAAATAAACTGGGACATCTGAGAAAATAATAGAAGCACGTGGACTTAGATAAAACAAGATATATTGGGTAGTTCTGATATTTTAATTGTTTTGATAGTAGACCCTTCTGTTTAAACATATTTTTAGTCAATCAAAAGTCACAGGTCTTACTAGTTAAATAGAAATAAGTAACTGTATGTCTTATTAAGTAAATAAGTTAAAAAAAAACGTAAATGTATCTCATAAGTAAATCTATGTATTCCTACTCATACTTCATAGGAAGTATGAATCTAGGAGAATTGGAAATTGTCAAAAATGAAATGGAATGCATAAACATCAATATCCTAGGCATTAGTGAGCTGAAATGGACTGGTATTGGCCACTTTGAATTGGATAATCATATGGTCCACTACACCGAAAATGACAAATTGAAGAGGAATGGCATTGCATTCATTGTCAAAAAGAACATTTCAAGATCTATCCTGAAGTACAATATTGTCAGTGATAGGATAACATCCATGTGCCTACAAGGAAGACCAGTTAACACAACTATTGTTCAAATTAACCCACCACCACTAAGGTCAAAGATGAAGAAATTAAAGATTTTTACCAACTTCTGCAGTCTGAAATTGATTGAACATGCAATCAGGATGCACTGACAATTACTGGTGATTGGAGTGAGAAAGTTGGAAACAAAGAAGAAGGATCGGTAGTTGCAAAATATGGCCTTGGTGACAGAAATAATGCCAGAGATCACATGATGGAATTTCACAAGACCAATGACTTCTTTCATTGCAAATACTTTTCTTCAACAACATAAACAGTGACTATAATGTGGACCTCGCCAGATGGAATGCACAGGAATCAAATTGACTACATCTGTGGAAAGAAACAATGGAAAAGCTCAATATCATCAGTCAAAACAAGGTCAGGGGCTGACTGAGGAACAGATCATCAACTGTTCATACGCAAGTTCAAATTAAGCTGAAGAAAATTACAACAAGTCCACGGAGAGCCAAAGTACAACCTTGAGTATATCCCACCTGAATTTAGAAAGCATCTCAAGAATAGATTTGACATGTTGAGCACTAATGACTGAAGACCAGATGAGTTGTGGAATGACATCAAGGACATCACATATGAAGAAAGTAAGAGGTCATTAAAAAGACAAGAAAGAAAAGACCAAAATGGATGTCAGAAGAGACTCTGAAACTTAGTCTTGAACATCGAGTAGCTAAAGCAAAAGCAAGAAATGATGAAGTAAAAGTGCTCAACAGAAGATTTGAAAAAGCAGCTCGAGAAGACAAAGTAAAGTATTATAATGACATGTGCAAAGAACTGGAGTTAGAAAACCAAAATGAAAGAACACACTCAGCATTTCTCAAGCTGAAAGAACTGAAGAAAAAGCTCAAGCCTTAAGTTGCAATAGTGAAGGATTCTATGGGCAAAATACTGAATGACGCGGAAGTATCAAAAGAAGATGGAAGGAATACACAGAGTCACTGTACCAAAAAGAATTGGTTGACGTTCAACCATTTCAGGAGGCAGCATATGATCAAGAGC